GGGGGTTTCGCTATAAGAAAAATGGTCTTTGGCAAGGGAAAATCTGATTGTTAGAAGTCCAGATTTAGTCGCTAATAGTCAATAACGATCGGAAAAAACTCAATCGTCGCCCGTAGCTAAAAGTCCCAAAAAGCGTACACATGATTCTGTGCAAATGGTATTAGTTTATTATCATAAATCAACTTGTTATGTAGGTTTTTTTTCAGCAAAAGGGTGTATTTTAGACCGGGGTCTCTGCCACTAATTGTAATTTAATTTTGTGCTTATTTACGTCTAAATGTTGTAGTTTTATTCCATAAAAATTGACACACACAAGAGAAATTAGAAATTACAAAACCAAGCACCTTGTTTAAGTTTATTTTTAAAAAAAAAAAAAAACACACCTGAAAATTCAAATGTTATGTCTTCCTATGTTTTGAGTTCACTTTTTATGCCAAGGCTCTTTTTTTAGGTAGCAAATAATTATGTAAATTTAAAAAAAAAATCAATTTCTTCTTATAGTTAGTGCAGGTGTAAAATATTGAGAAATCATACATTTTGCCAAAGAAACCTAAGGTAGGTGGCTCTTAGAGCCTCTTGACAAATTTTCACACGTGGCATTAAATAAGTATTTAAACAGTATTTTACCTTATAGACACGCTTCTATCTTGGTGCTTTACACATGTTAGGTCTTGGTCAAAGAAGGTGTGTATTAGACATACTTTTAAAAGGTTGAACGTGTAATATTATTTTTGCGCACAGAAAATATGAAACATGGATTTGGTCCGTAGTTCAGGTACAAACTTATGTATTTTGCCTCTTTTTTTTTCGGAAAGGGCCAAAAATGCCCTTGAACTATCTGAAATAGCTCAAAAATGCCTTCCGTTTGTTTTTGTTATCAAAAATATCCATGTCATCTATATTTTGGACCACAAATGTCGTTAAACCGTTAATATTGCTATTGAAGGTGACATGGCAGTCCAACTAGGTTAGATTTGCTTACATGGCCATTCACCTAAGCAATCAAGCATGGCATAATTATTTTTTCGGAAAAAACCTTTTTTCAAAAATTTTTATTAAAATACAAAATAAACACTTATTCCGAAAAAAAAGTAATACATTTTCGGAAAAATTATTTATTTCGAAATTTTTATTACAATATAAAATCAAAATTTATTCCGAAAAAGTAAAAAAATTCCGGAAATTTTTTTTCCGGAAATTTTTATTAAAATACAAAATAAACACTTATTCCGAAAAAAGTAAAAAAAATTCGGAAAAATTATTTATTTTGGAAATTTTTATTAAAATACAAAATCAACATTTATTCCGAAAAAGTAAAAAAATTCCGGAAAATTTATTTATTTCAGATTTTTTTATAAAAATACAAAATCAACACTTATTCCGAAAAAAGTAAAAAAAAATCGAAAAAATAAATATTTGGGAGTTATTTTTCCTGAATTTTTACTTTTTTCGGAATAAGTGTTGATTTACTATTTTAATAAATATTTTTTCCGGAATTTTTTTACTTTTTTCGTAATAAGTGTTGATTTTGTATTTTAATAAAAATCTCTGAAAAAAGATTTTTTCTGAAAAAATAATTTGTCATGCTAGATTGCTTAGGTGGATGGCCATGTAAGCAAATCTAACTCAGTTGGACTGCCATGTCACCTTCAATGGCAAGACTAACGGTTTAAGGGCATTTGAGGTCCAAAATATATACGACATAGATATTTTTGGTATCAAAAACAAACGGAGAATATTTTTGAGTTATTTCAATTAGTTCAAGGATATTTTTGGCCCTTTTCTATTTTATTTTTTTTAATAAATAGTTAGAGCCATGAAATATTTCGAAATATTATAAAAGTAAATAGACGTTTTTAGCCACTTTTCGATGTGTGCCTGAAGACCTATGTTAATGTTTTGGAAAGGGATGTTCGCCTTTTGTAACAAATAGAACCACGTGAACCCTTCAAAAATGAAAAGTCAATGTCCTCTTTGAAGCATCCAAGGATGATCTAGCCCCAAAGAGATAAGGAGCAGAGCAACTGGCGTAAAAAGAAGGGATAGGGGCCACACTACATAGCCTCCTTTTCGTACCAAATTTTCTAATTTTTCACTTTTATTACAAATCAATTCAGTACTCTTATTACTCTCGTTTCCCTCCATTAAATTCTCGAAGAAAATAAAGTTTCAAAAACATATTTGGGAGAGGGAGAGAGCAAATAAAATATAGGAATTTTGGAGAATGAGGGTAAGGAGAATAGCATTAGAAAATATTTTCCGAAAAAAATATTTTACTCATCAATCAAACAAAGGAAAATAAATAATAAAATAACTCATTTTTCAGAAAAATATTTTCAAGAAAAATATTTTTTATGTAAAATATTTGCCTCCGTACCAAACACACCCTAAATCAAGTGATATTTTCCTTGGGAAAGAAAATATGTTTATACATATTGTTCGTTTTTCAAGTCAAATACTTCCCTATTTAGCTTTCATTTTTTTATATCCATAATTGTGCTAATATATATAAAATAAGAAACATTATCCATGGTCAACTCCAATTATTGGAGTTGAAACTCTGAACCAAAACCATAACTTTATGGAGAAATGATTAGGAATTACTCCAAAAGGATAAAAAGTACTTTCTTTCTTATCCTTCCCAAATGTTACTTCTACTCATTTTCAAGTCGTTTGAGGGGAAGGGGGAGTCAATGGGAAAGAAAATTACTAAGGATATTTAAGAAATATGCACTAGAAGTTAATCCGGTTCATAAAATATTTTGCATTCACGCAAGATTCTGTGAAGGGTCGCAAGATTCAAGCAGTCAACCTTATTGGAAGTATCAGTGGTTGATTCCACGACTCGAACTCGTGACTTGTAGGTCACACAAAGATAACTTTACTGTTGGCTCCGAGGCTTCTCTTCAAATATGCCACTACATGGTTAGCAGGAATACCGTCAAATTAATTGAGGTACGCACAAGTTAGTTCGGACACCATAGTGATCAAAGAAAAAAACAAGTAGCCACTAATTCAAGTAAGGGTGTAGCTTAGATATCAATAAAGCTGATAAAAAATAAGAGAAATCAGAGTTTAAAACTCACTAGAGATAAAAAAAAAAAANATTTAATAATTGTGCTGATGAGAAATAACGCTTATCTAATAACATTGTACTAATAGTCTAAATATTCACAATTAATAAGTTTATTTAGATAGAGACAACCAAAGTAACTATATTCTACGGATTATGCTAGGATATTAAATTTAGCCCGCGCCAGAAACTATTTACATTTTATAGTCGAAAAAGTATATAAAATTTATATAATTTTTGTATATAACATACTATATATATACAACCAAAAATAGTATATTTTTTCGACTATTATTTTGGAAGGTTGTATCAGCAAATTCTTGTATGTTCAGAGATGTCAAAAAAGCAATCCACAAGACTCAATTAGACCAAACATTCAACTTCATGAAATCAACAACTTACATTGTAACAGACTTGAATAAGAGGACAAAGCAAGAAAAACACCATTGGATAAAACACTTTATTCTTAAGCCATTGCATATAGGATGCTAAAACATATCACACAGCTTTGGCTTTACATTACACAACCACCATCACCTCTCAAAAAAGTACTTAACAAGAAGAAAACTGCAGCTGCAGAGAATTGTAACAGTTTATACTTTGACCAGCCAGAGGCACAAAAGAGTTCACAATTCCACGAATCATCGACGAAGTACAGTTATTTAAGAAACTTAAACAGATTGAAATCTCAAATAAAGCTAACCTATACAGAATTATGTAAAAACAAAACGACGACTACCTTATTTAAAAACATCTATAAGTTCTTTCTAACCAGCATGGCGAATATCCGAGGACGTCTCTTACACCTTTTTCATTACACCATGCAGAATCCTCCAACCTCTACAACTACGTAGTAACAGAAACACCAAACCGAGAGAACTGTAGGCGATTCAAATCCACTCGATAATGTGTAGATCTTCCCTCTTGGAAACAAGTGATATCCATGTGCACAAAGTCGTGGTACTTGATATACATTTGAGCACACATCCTTTGCTAATACCAAACCGGAACATCTTGCTTCGGCATGTTATCCTGTGTAATCCCAGAAAGAGCTTCAGTGTAATCAGTGGACTGTAAATTGAATGGAGACCCGAACATGAAATGGAAATTGTCGTTAGAGCCTGCATTGAATGGTGAAGTTAAAACCTTGGACTGATCAAACCGATCACCTTGTGGGAACATGGAATGGTTAGCAGAAATGTTGGTGTCCCCAAAGATATTTCCATCCAATATAATCCCTTGGTTGTGTAGGTAATTGTTCTGTTGAATACTAGGTTGTTGACGAGGCTGCTCTTTTGACATCACAACGTTCCCCGCCATTGAGCTTTTATTTCCTTGTATATTATTATCGTAGAACGACATAAGCTCATTGATCATCCTCTGCCCGTCTTCAGGAACCCCGATTCCTGACAGATCAAAGGAAGGCGGAGCTTGGTTAATCGGCAGAGAAGCTGGCTTTGGCTGGACATATTGTTGAGGAAAGACAACCGGCTTGACTTCATCAACATGAAAATTTGAAACTCCAAATTGCGGAGAGTTTCTGAAAGGACAAGTTAATTGATGATTGTCTCTGGAGGATCTGTCCTGAAAACCATTGCGGAGCTCGCTGTGCGGACATTGAAGACACTCACAAGTATATATCTTCTGATCCATCAAGAAAGTCAGCTCATCCGCTGGCTTCCTCTTCCGAGTGAAATCTAAGTTGGCAATCATAATTTCATCCTTGATTGGAAGAGATTGTTGTTGCATAGGCAGCCTCTCCTTGAATCGATCAACATTAACATTCAGCAAACCGAGATGGTTTGGTTTTTGCTCTTGAACATCAAAGTTAGGCTCATCTACAACACCGTCAACGTCGTACTCACTGCTGTCATTCATAGTAAAAGTTCCACTACCACCAGCTGAGGACAAAGGTGGACAACGATCAGGATAAAGTTCTCGAGCCAAAACTTCCTCCTGATTGATAATGGCAAGCCAAGTTGCACTTTCCTTGGCCGTCATCTTATCCTGCAAACACTTTGATTGCCTTACCAGCTTACGAATCTTAGCGATATCAGGGGACATGTGCTTTATCACCGCGGTGAGAACACCAACTTTCCACGCCTTCTTCAGATCGTGAGGCTTCTTATAAGGCGGAGGACCTTGATCTTTCGACAGGCCTAGTTGAGGCCACCAGTCCTCCTGTCCAGTGGGCCACCACGGAGGTGGAACACCTTTTTCCAACGGAAATCGCCTCTGAGGAGGATCACAATGTTGCATCAAAGCTGATAATAAAGAGCCAAGAGTGGTATCTTGAAGCTCCTGCAAAGTGTGAGGGGTAGGACCAATCGGATTAGATCCCTCATTCTTGCCCGGAATCGCATTATCAGCTTGGTACTTTGCTATGGCTGCAGGTCCATTTCGATCGAACCTCACTTTATCCTTCCACCACTCCCTGAGATTATCTGATGCCCCGGTAACCGGTTTCCCTTTCTCCGGGATAATTCCATAAACAAAACCCTGAGCTTTACAAACTTCCATCATCTTCAACATGTATTTCAAGATCCCGTCTTGTGCCCTCGACATCTTCTTCCTCCTCGCTTGCTCCTGAGACTGGCGTTGTTTGACAGCGTCAACACCTTCCTTACCCCCCTTAGTCATTTCTTTCAGCCTTTTCAGCTTCATCTTGTCCCTCCACATCCTCCTCTCCAGCTCATCCACATCAATCTCCTCATCGCTATAATCATCATCCATCACCGGCTCCTGCTCCTGCTCCTGCTCGATCTGCGAAGCAGCTGTTTCCACTTCCTTTAGCGGAGCAGGGAAGAAATCAAGATCGCCACAGAACCCCATTTCTTCAAACATCATCATCTTGGCAACCCCGAATTAACGGTTAAAAAAGCAGCAACCTTCAAGAAACCAAATGGGATTAAACAGCTAATCCTCAAATTGATGACTTCCCCTCCTGCAAATACAAAGACAAAGAAAATAAGAAAATCTAAATTCATCTAGCAACAACCAAAGGCCATTTTAATTCAAAAGAAAACAAACAAGACATGAATAAGTCAAATCTAGTCAAGATAAAGGAAGTTAAACATCAATATCAAGAAACACCTACAAATTTGTAGAACTAAATCACCTCAAAAAATAAAGTGATAGACATGTGAAGATCACAATAAACTCATGGAGCTCAACTAAAAGCTAAGAGGATGAAAAAAAAAGTGGCTCTTTTGGCAGATAGTTATAGTAGTGACATCCGTGATAAAGCAGTTTCATCAAAAAGAAGACTAAATTTGTACACATCACTTAAAAAAAGCCGAGATCATCAAAAATAATCTCCATTTCATTTTCCGAGATATCATTTTTAGCAAAATTTGACATATTTCTAGATCTGAAATATAAGAAATTATTGTAACCCTCAACCAGAAATCACAATAACAAAAAAGAGCAAAAAATCTAGTGGATTTTCTTGAAAACCTTGTAACTGAAGAGACCATAAAACTATTAATTTCATATGTTAGAATTATCACTTGATGTAAATAGCCAAAAACAAATTAAAAAAAAAAACAAAACAAAGGAAAAGCCAAATTCATATGTTAGATGTTATCTCTTGATGTAAAAAGCCAAATTCAACTAAAAAAGTTTATTAAAAAAACAAAGAAAAAGCAGAAAAATCTAATATTGAAGCAAAAGGCGATCTTTACACTGAAACACAAGGCAAAACACATAAAACAGAAAGTTAATCAGCAAAATCAAGATCAATCTATCAAAAATAAAGTCAAACAAAAATCTCTGAAGACAAATTTCTAAAAAGAGAAGAAAAGCAGAAAAATGCAATTTTGATGCAAAAGCTCTAACCTTTTACGCTTTTAACACATGGCCAAATACTAAAACCAAGATCAGTTTATATGAGAATGTCAACAAATGAAGTCAAAAAGATTTTCTAAAGACAAAAATGAAGAAACCCAAGTAGAAAATAACATCAAAACCCAATAAGAATCTCAACTTGATCACCAAAAAGCTATCTTGAAACAAAAACTCCAATCGTTACACTAAAATACCTGGCTAAATATTAAAAACCAAGATCATTTCATATGAGAATGTCAAAAAATGAAGTCAAAAAAAATTTCTACAGACAAATATGAAGAAACCAAAGTGGAAAATAACATCAAAACCCAATAAAAATCTCAACTTGATCACATAAAAAAAAACTATCATGAAGCAAAAGCTCCAATCTTTACACTAAAATACATGGCTAAATATTAAAAACCAATATCATTTTATATGAGAATGTCAAAAAATAAAGTCAAAAAAAATTTCTACAGACAACAATGAAAAAACCAAAGTGGAAAATAACATCAAAAACCAATCAAAATCTCAACTTGATCACACACACAAAAAAAAGAAAAAAGAAATGGTTCTATGGAAGAAGAAGAAAAATACCTCAAAAGTTTTTTTTTTTTTTTTTTTTTTTTT